AGTGGGGGGGGGAGGGAGGGTGATGGGACATATTAGTGCTCTGTTAAAGGGAATAGAGAAAGAGAGGGTGGGGGGAGAGAGAGAGAGAGAGAGAGAGAGAGAGAGAGAGAGAGAAAAAAACACCATGTGGGTAGTGAAGGAATCAGAGACACTTTGCAGAGAGATCAAACCAGTACACACACAATGTGTCCCAGTCAAACAAAACGCCAGAGAAATGCACTTAACATTTATTTCTTGCCCTGGCTTTTCCCAAGCCAGAGGGTCTGGGTTCGATTCCCGGGCAGGGCCAGACCTTAGGCAAGTTTCCTTACTCCACACTCCCTCTGTTTACTTAGCAGTAAGTAGGAACTCGGTTGTTCCCGGATTGGCGGATCGCTTTTCCGGGGGTAATAATCCCTCCAAAGAAAAAACATTGGGTCACTCCATCCACCTCTGTTTGTGGGGACGCCGCTGTGCGCAATTGGCTGCCGCGTTTCACCCACAAAATATACCATATATTCTGTAAAGCGCTTTGAGACGTGTCAGCCATGTAATAAGGCGCTATATCAAACGCAAGGATTATTATTACTATCATCATCAATACTCTTTGCATTTGATACAGCGCCTTATCCCATCATTGAGATGTCTCAAAGCGCTTCACAAAGCCCTTAGTAAAGTTTAATATGAAGACGACAGAGTCACACGCGCACACCCAACTGGGCAGGAACCTGCTTTAAATATAGCTTTTTAAAAAAATCTTAAAGTGGTAATGCACATTTTTTTAAAAAATCAGTGAGGCCTATATCCCTGCCCCTCCCCCCCAAAAAATAAGGGTCGAAATGTCAAATGAAATATCAGTTTTGCTCATTTGAAAGATTTGTACTCACAAATTACATAGTTAATTCACTTCACAGTACATTGTGTGGAGTGCTTTGAGACGTCTCAAGGACCCGATAAGTCGCTGAATCAAATGCAAGGATTATTATTATTATTTGTCAATGGAAGGGTGGGGGAGAGGGAAAAGAGGAGGGGGAGAAAGGAAAAGTATGTGGGGGTGGGGGGGGGGGGGGGGGGGAGGGGGGATAGAGGTTAAAACCTATGTTTTCTTTTAAGTAAAAAAAAAGCTAAATGCAATATTGCTAACAGAGAAATTCCTTGGATCAGCCAAGTCAGTCAGTCAGTCACTCAGTCAATCCTTTATCGTAAGGTTGTGTTGGAAACTTGGAGCAAACGAGTCACATTCAAGTAAGCCTTGTTCGACCTCTTAATAGATCTGACTCGGTTTGGGAGGGGGTGAGGTGGTGGGGGGGGGGAGGGAAGCGGTGCCCACCTGTTTATGTGTGATCCTAGGATTCATTAGTAATTCTTTTTTTTAGATATATTCTTTCTTTCTTTTTAGAAAAAAAATGATTTGAAATGCAAACTGCGGGTTAAGGATCATTTTTGCATTGTAAAAACGCAAAGCTGAACTTTTGCCAAATCGTTTGTAGTTTTCAATTTAAAAAAAGGACATAGCTAAGTATACCCCCAATTCCACTCTCCCCCCCCCACACCCCCCACCACCTCCCCCTCGCTCTCTTCCCTCCCCCAAAGAGGTTAGTGCAAGGCAGAGTATTTACTGCAAAGTACAGCAATGGGAAACACCGTTCTATTCTATCAGTGTCGGTGCATTTGTTGTGTGTGTCTGTGTGTGTCTGTGCAAGTGTCTGTGTGTGTGTGTCTGTGCAAGTGTCTGGGTGTGTGTGTCTGTGTGTGTCTGGCAAGTGTCTGGGTGTGTGTGTCTGGGTGTGTGTGTCTGTGCAAGTGTCTGGGTGTGTGTGTCTGGGTGTGTGTGTCTGTGCAAGTGTCTGGGTGTGTGTGTCTGGGTGTGTGTGTCTGTGCAAGTGTCTGGGTGTGTGTGTCTGTGTGTGTCTGGGCAAGTGTCTGGGTGTGTGTGTCTGTGCAAGTGTCTGGGTGTGTGTGTCTGTGTGTGTGTGTCTGTGTCTGGGTGTGTGTGTCTGTGTGTGTGTGTGTTGAGGTGATAGTTTATTGCATCGACCGCGCCAGAATGTAGGAAGAGAAGCTTTTTACCCCTCATAAAGCGGCAGAGAATGTCTCTCATACACACACACACACACACATAGATATATATAATATATATATTTAAAACGTTCCTTGTATTTTTCAGGACTTTTTTTTTAAAAGGAATAAACACAATACTGGAATTATAGTTCAATGTCCCTTTGCATCAGCAGATCAGCACTGAGTGGTTATAGCCACAATATCTGGGAACCGTATAACCGCACTTGTATCGTTGAGAACACATTACACATAGAGCTTGAGATTACATTACACATACATGTACAGTATATGTTTGTAATCCTCTCCTTTTTTTTTTTGGGGGGGGGGGGGGGGGGGGATTCAAGCCTTGCCTTACAACATCGATTGATTCTGAGGCTGCAAACTACTTTATAGATAGACATACAACTGCACCTCCTGTGATTTTCGCTCGGGTTTCTGATCCCTTTGGCAGTACAGAGTTGCTGCTCAAGGCCACAAGGCACAAGCACAGTTGGTCTTGTAAAACGGATGTGTGTCCACCCACAGCAATGATAAGTTTGTGCCTCTCTGTGTTGGACAGAGAGAGAGAGAGAGAGAGAGCTCAGTCAGACCTCAAGAAGAGAGGCGACTCTTTACTTACATTATTGGCCGCTTCCTTCCCATTTAGGGGCGATTCCGCCAAACTGTTCTTTATTTGGATCTGCATTTTTGCACTTAAAATATATATGTATGAAAAACACACACACACACACACACACACACACACACACTCACACACAACCAGACGGACATATTCCAACGCTGCACGTTTGGGTAAAGGGATAAAATGAACGGTTTCTCCGCTAACAGTGATAAGGAAGGCATTATTTGCTCATTTGTGGTTGTATTGAATTAAGGACTTCATCGCGTGTCACTATTTTAAAATAAATAAATCTGTATGGAAGCTGACATATAGATGAAACAATACAATAAACGTCAAGATCGATAATTATAAAAGATAGCAATGATATATTTCCAAATGCTTCTCTCTCTCTCTCTCTCTCTCTACCCCACACAACACACACAACACACACACAACACACACATAACACACACACACCTGTGTTGTGATGTTAAAATTCACGTCGTGACATCTCTGCAAAAGTAAATGAAACTTCTACCCCCACAAATCCTGTTTTTTAATGACAACGTTTTAAGTTTAAAAGCTACCTTTTTCCACGAAGGCGTTTTTTTTTTTCTGGGAATGTGCGATTCCTGGGCTGTGTGAGTGAGTGGAATCTGTTTTAATGCGCAAAGGGAGAGATAGAGAAAGAGAGGGAGAAAGAGAGAGAAAGACAATAAACAATTATTATGTTTAAACAGTCGTTTAATTTCCCTCAGCGCGTCCATACCCTTAAATACAAATAAATACAAGACCACCAGACAAACTCAAACCCTTGCAATGTCCACAGAAGCAATGACTTTGAGCAGAAATATTCGGGTGTGGATCCAAACTTATTATTTCGACTTTGCCATCAGCCCAGTATTATGCATTTAGCAAAACAGTCAATGGAAAGGTTTGACACGTTTTATTTTCGGTTATTGTTTTCAAAAAAAAAAAATTCAGAAGTCTTACATGTTATGCTCCAAAAATAAAAAACGCGTCTCAAATCAGATCCATTTGATGAGAGTTCCTGTGGGAATGTGTGTTATTATTTTAATGACTGGAATAGCAATGGATATTCATATATACAGATATTTAGCTTGGCCGCCTGATATCAACAGTATATTTGTGTTGTAGGCAGAGGGCAATCATAAAATAATTATTAGCCATATCACACACACACATAATAAAAATAATACTTGCATTTGATATAATATATGCATTATATAACTATATAGCTATATGGTATAATATATTATATACAGTTATATAGTCGATATAACGAGGTGACAAATACCGGTATTATTATTAATAATAATTATATTATTATATGAGTAATATATCAAAGGCGTGTCTTGATAGTTTTCATGCCCTGGACTTAACATTTGGATTTTTTTGTACACACACATTAAAAACAAAAGTGAGGTTTGTTTCGCCTGATTATTATTGGCTGTAAATTGCGATGCTTTTATTGCCCCCCCCTCCACCCCCACTCCCCCACCCCCCCACCCCTACACGACACAACAACACCCCATCACACAACCACAGAGGAAAAGAAGTTTATGTTTCCCACTTGTACTCAGCAACTCTCAGCGTTAAGCAGTTGACACGCTTTGCAAAGGTGATTACCAGCTTAATGGAGAGGGTTGTAATTGAATTAATATTAACATATTCGCTTGCTGTGTTCCTGGGAAGGGAGGGGGTGATGGTGGGGGTGGGTGGGGGGGGGGGGGTGCATGTGTGTGTGCATGTGTGGGGGTGGGGGGTTTCTTTAGTGGCGAATCTACACAGGTTGTAAAATAGATGCACACACGTCTGAGAGAGGGAGGGAGGGAGAGAGAGAGAGGGAGAGAGGGAGGGAGGGAGGGAGGAAAGAAAGGAAGGGGGGTGGGATTGAGGGAGGGGGAATGTGGGCAGACACTGCCAAGTATAAATACTCGCTTCTCAAATAGTAACACATAACACAGAGGGGTTGTACATGCATCACACACACAGACACACACACACAGACACACACACACAGAGACACACACACAGAGACGCACAGAGTGTGTACAGGACAAGGTGAGAGCAACAGAGAGAGAGAGAGACACAGACACACACCCACACACACACACACAGACACACACACACACAGAGACACACACAGAGACACACACAGAGAGAGAACAAAATAATTCGAAACAAGTACATCAATCCAAATCGATCGGAGAGGGATTTCTGTGGCTTTGTGTTGTTATATATATATACACACATATATATATACACACACACATATATATTAAAAACATACATATATATACACATATATATTAAAAATATATATATACACATATATATTAAAAAAAAACCACAAGCCATGGAAGAGCTCACGGCGTTTGTCTCCAAATCCTTCGACCAGAAAAGCAAAGATAAGAAAGAGGCGATCACATACAGAGAGGTCCTGGAGAGCGGGTTAGCGAGGAGTCGGGAGCTGAGCGGATCCGAGTCGAGCTGTCAGGACATCACAGAGAACAGCCACTGTCCGCCCCACAGCTACAGGGACCCCGAGCCCGAGAACCGCACACTCAGGGAACCCAACCCGGGCAGGACTTCAGAAGGTACCTCCCTCCCTCCCTCCCTCCCTCCCACTCACTCACTCACTCACTCACTCACTCACTCACTCACTCACTCACTCACTCACTCACTCACTCACTCACTCACTCACTCACTCACTCATTCACTCACACTCTCTCACTCACTCACTCACTCACTCACTGTCTCTCTCTCTCTCACTCTCTCACTCACTCACTCTCACTCACTCACTCACTCACTCACTCACTCACTCACTCTCTCTCTCTCTCTCTCACTCACTCACTCACTCACTCACTCTCTCTCACTCTCTCTCTCACTCACTCACTCACTCACTCACTCTCTCTCTCTCTCTCACTCACTTTCTCATTCACTCACTCACTCTCTCTCTCTCTCTCTCTCTCTCTCTCACTTTCTCACTCACTCTCTCTCTCACTTTCTCACTCACTCACTCACTCACTCTCTCACACACTCACTCACTCACTCTCTCACTCTCTCTCACACTCACTCACTCTCTCTCTCACTCCCTCCCTCCCATTTCCCCACTCACTCTGTACAGCCTCTATACAGAAACTCTCTGGACTTCAGCTTCTATGGAGACATCACACACTCCTCTCTCTACAGAGCCATCTATTCGGCCTATGTCTAGGCTTCTGGACTAGTTACATTGGACCAGTTACATAAATTTTCACACAAAATGTTCCCTCTCTCCACAGAAAGTTCCCCCACATACTCCTCCCCCCACCCCCCTCCTCCTCCTCCTCCTCTTCTTCAGGCCACTAAACATTTATATGTTTAAATCTTGTCTTAAGAAATCTTTTTTTTTCTCTTTCTCTGTCTCTCCTTTTTGTGTGTGTGTGTGTATTTGTGTGTGTGTGTGTGTGTATTTGTGTGTGTGTGTGTGTGTTTGTGTGTGTGTGTGTGTGTGTGTGTGTGGTGTGGGGGGGGGGGGGGTAATGTTCATTGAAATGTAACTGCCCCCTTCTCCCCCCTCCCACCCCATTCCCCTCTCTCTCCCCCTCTCTCCCTCTCCTCCAAATAATAATCTGAACGGGAATAATCCGAATAACGGTCGCATTTGCATTGAGTTTTAGTCTGAATTTGGTATGAATGTGTGGCAACGCGCACCGAATGCAGGATATCTGCGTGTTTTCTTTTAGGAAAACAAATGAACTAAAGAAAAAACGTGAACGGCTGTTGCATGTGGGGAAGTATATCTGGGAGGAGTTATTCCTACAAATGTGAGCAAACAACTCAAATGAATTGGCCGACACCGACGCCAATGCATCTTTGAGTGTCGTTGTGTGTCGTTTTGGCCACTGGATTAAAATTGCTTCGAGTTTGGAGTTAGTTACAGCTCATAACACCTAATAATGCACAGACAGACACAGGAAAGACCTGGCAATATAGACTGATTTAACACGCGGGGGGTGTGATATATAGACCAATACACAGGGTGACCAAAAAGTCGTGATATTTACCCTATTACTTTTTTTTAGAAAATCACAATTGATTTAAGGCTCGTTAGACCTTGTGATGGTATGACGACTTTTTGGTCACCTTGTAAATATATAGGGGGGGGGGGGGGGGGGGATGTATGATTTGTATATTAAAGCCTTAAACGCAGTAAGAAAGGCTAATCCGTTACAGCAGCTCAAAACTACGATATTTTACTATCTAAATTGCAATGGAAATTGACAGTGTGAAATTCCCCTCAGCTGTTGTGCTATTATAGTGCAGAGAAACTAACCATTTTACCCAACATCATTCGCCCTCGGCTCCAACATTTGGTGTGAATTTAATCTCTTTCTCTCTCTCTCTCTCTGCCCTCCACACACACACACACACACACACACACACAGGCTGTTGGCTTCAACTAAATTGTTATAAATATGTATTTGTGTGTGTGGGGAAAAAAAAAACCCCAAACCGTATTATAAGGTAGTTTTTATAACGAAATAAATCGAGCGAAACACGCCAACGCACAGCATTAATTGCAGCCTAAAATGGGTAGGAATTGATATCAAACCCAGGTCCAGGTCGAGCAACAACAACAAAAAAAAAACAACACTAAATTGCATTGTGGCTTTTATTTCGCTGCCAAATGGAGCGTTTAAATCCACTCGAGTGTTGGACGCGTTACACTCCATCCATATATACATATATATGTTTTAATATTTCAGTTTGTTATTGAATTGAGGGCAATATAACAGAATGTAAGTCGCTTACTTTTTTTTTGCCCATTGCCCGTCGGTCGCTGTGTGCGTATTGACGATTGAGAGTGTGACTTGGAAGAAATGGCCATATAAAGCGTTTCACAGACCCCCTCTCCTGATGTGATTTGGCTCTGGTGATTGAATGATCCTCACTCTCGGGGAGAGGGTAAACAGGGGACCAATTTTTATCGCTGTGTTAAAGAAAAAAAAACGAGAGAGATGACTTATTAAGATTCACTCAGTCCTCGCAGCTACTGGATTTGCAATGCTCTCAGATTTCATCGGCCACTAATGTTGTTATGGAAAACCTGGGGTTAAATAAACACAGAGTTTGGGCAATATTGAGAGATCAAAGATATTTTTCTACCTCTCTCTCCCCCCCTCTCTCTCCCTCTCTCTCTCTCTCTCTCTTCCTCTCTCTCCCCCTCTCTCTCTCTCTCTCTCTTCCTCTCTCTCCCCTTCTCTCTCTCTCTCTCTCTCTCTCTCTGGTGACACTTATTTCACTTTTTTTCCGTGAATCTCACCCCACTCTCAGCTCAATTTAAACACTAAAATCCGAGGGACATTTGCAGCGGAGGCGACTGCGAATTTATTAAAATTAAATTTTAAAATCTTTTTTGGGAGAGTTTTCTCCAACACTCTCTCTCCCACTCACTCTTGTATGTATGTACGTATGTTTATATGTATGTATATGTATGTATATATGTATGTATTTATGTATGGTTTCATCTTAAACCCTTCCCTCTCCCTCTTTCTCTCCCACAAACACCATCACAACAAATAGAATCACATCTAAAATTCGTTCTGTCTCACATTTGCTGACAACTCGTTCTGTTTTTCATATAAATATATATAATATATATATAATGCGGTGTTAGCCATTGCATTTGTACAGTCATTTGTAACACGAGTCCTAATTTAATATGAAGAGAGAAAGAGAAAGAGAGAGAGAGAGAGAGGGAGAGAAGGTGGAGGGGTGAAAAAGAGAGAGAATGTACTAAAACACACAGAAATAAACAGTTCTACATTTCACTGAGTTTTGCTCGATATTGTCGACACCGATTTTTATTTTCTTTTGGGGGGCAATTGCCAAACATAACCGCAGTTCCATAAATTTGTACAAAAAAAAAGACCGTTAATTCATTGAATTGTTTTTTTTTGACCACAAAAAGGCCATTGCGATTTTTTTAAATTAAATTTTTTTTAAAAAAAAGGATTTATCTTTTCTTTCCTCCCCACAAACAGAGTCAGCGCGAGAAACAGACAAAACCACAATAATAATTATAATAACTGTTCTTTATTTGATATAATGCCTTATCACTCAGTCGCAGTTATGTCACACAGTTCTGTGTAAAGCGCTGTAAAGAGTGTGTTTGAGGTGAACTGAGGTGTTTTGGGAGGGGGTTGGGGGGGGTGGAGGGGGTGCAATTTAGCCCCAAAAAATCTTCGAGGCAATAAACAAATAACTTTTATTATTGCACTGGTTTCAAACCGTAAATAAAATGTGTAGCCACAAAAAAATCCACAGTGAAATCTGATTTAAAAGGGGATTTAAAAGCGTTTTAAGAAGGGGATCGATGGGTATAATAACACAGCAGTCACTTCTGGGCACTGTATCGCAAGTTAAGACATCTTTTTTCCACCCCCTGGTCAGGTTATAGGCACATTTCGTAAACCTTTCGCTAGAATAGACAGTCCGCTCGGTTCGATGTTGTGCGAATCCGGGAATTTGTCTGGTCAGCGATGGAGTTGAAGGAGAGAGGGAGAGAGGGAGAGAGAGGGAGAGAGGGAAAGAGGGGGAAGGGAGGAAGAGAGAGGGAGGGAGAGAGAGGGAGAGAGAAGGAGAGAGGGAGAGAGAAAGTTTTTCGATGGATAAAATTGATTGCTTTCGCGTTTAGTAATAGAACACTTTCTGCTCTCTCTCTCTCTCTCTGTCTCTCTCTATCTCTCTCTCTCTATCTCTCTATCTGTCTCTCTCTATCTCTCTAAGCTGTCATCATAAAACATTCATTGCGTTATTAAGACATATCTGGGGCGATGGTTGGAAAGATACCCGACTTTTAACGCACACACAACTCCAGGCAAACAGGCGAGACAGAGAGACAGAGAGACAGAGATGGAGAGAGTAATAGGGAGAGATAGAAGAGGGAGAAATGGTGCGAGAGAGAGAGAGAGAGAGAGATGGAGAGGGGGAGGGAGCGAGAGAGAGAGAGAGAGGGAGAGAAGAGATGGGGAGAGAGAGAGAGAGGAGAGGGAGGGAGAGAAGAGAGGGTGGAAGGAGAGAGAGAGAGAGAGAGGGGAGAGAGGGAGGAGAGAGAGAGAGATGGAGGGGAAGGGGAAGGGTAGAGAGAGGAGAGGAGAGGAAAGGCAGCGAGAGGAAGAGAGAGAGAGAGAGAGGATGGAGTGAGTGAGAGAGAGAGGGAGGGAGAGAGAGAGCGCCTCACGCTATCTCTTTAAGTTTGACAGAGTGGTGGCACTTGGAAAATGATGGCGTTAAGGGAAGAGACTCGGCTACAAATAGCGTTTGGCACCACTGGTGATCAAAGCCCATGTGGTGTTGGCAATGACAGTGTAAAGGGAAGAGAAGCAGCAAAACTGCAGGTTGTTTAGAGCGCCTTTAATTGGGACATAGTTTACTTGTCTGCACCGCTTTGTTCTCCTGCAGCTAAAATGTCAGTGACACTTTTTTTTTAATATATAAAGTGATGAGGTGTGTGTGTGTGTATATATATATATGTGTGTGTGTGTGTGTTTGCATTCTCTCACCAGGACAAGGCAACACATCCGTTTAAAGAGGCTGATTGCTCTTTTGTAGGCCTTTTCTGTTGGTCTTATTCAGAAAACTAGTACTTTTCTGACTATTTCAACCCCCCACCCCCTCTCCCTCCCCTCTCTCTCTCTCTCTCTCTCTCTCACCCACACACATATTCTTTTCCCTGTCTCACTCCCTCCCTCTCTCCCCCCCCCCCGAAAACTAAACTAAAACTAAACGCTTTGGCTTATTTTTTCTCTCTGTAACTGCAAACTGCAATCTCATTTCACAATGGTCTGTTAAAGAAGAGAGAGAGAGTGAGTGTGAGAGAGGGGGAGAGAAAGGGAGAGAGAGAGAGAGAGAGAAAGGAACACTTGACCTCTATACTGTTGTATCACCGGTGTTATGTCTTGTTCACCGATTGCATTTCCCGTTAGGGATAAAATAGGTATTAGCAAAAGGAATAAGGTTTGTTTTTTTTAAGAGAGAGGGGGAGAGAGGGAGAGAGAGAGAGAGAGAGAGAGAGAAAGGGGGAGAATGGGAGGGAGAAAGTTTATGGGTTTCAAATAGTTGACACCCAGGTTATTACTAAGGGAAATTGATTATAAGTTGAATTGAATGGCGAATTTTAAAACAAAATAAAGTGGATTGCTGTCAGTTGTTGTCAGTTGTTGTGTTTAAAGTCAGGTCGGTACAGTCTTACACTTACCAGAGTGTGTTTCTGCAGTAATTCACCAAATAAATGTTTATTTTCTCTTTTCTCTTCCACCACCACACACCACAACACACACACACTTACATATATACACACACTCACCACAACACACACACATACACATATATACACAACTCACACACGTGCACACTCTCACAACACAAACACACACACATACTCACAACTATCTCACACACACACACACACACACACACACCACACACAGGAATCTACGATTGTAAAGAGAAACGGGAGGAGGTGAAGTCTGAGGATGAGGATGGACAGACTAAGTTGAAGCAGAGACGGAGTAGGACAAATTTCACACTGGAGCAGCTGAACGAACTGGAGAGACTTTTCGATGAGACCCACTATCCGGACGCTTTCATGAGAGAGGAACTGAGTCAGAGACTGGGACTGTCTGAGGCCAGAGTCCAGGTGAGGGGCATAGTGACAGGGCATTGGGGGGGGGGGGGGGGGGGGGGGGGGGGTTGGGAGGGGGGGTTACAGAGACGTGTGTGACACAAAGAGTTGGGTCAGTGTATATATATGTGTGTGTGTGAGAGAGAGTGTGTCAGTGTATATGTGTGTGTGAGAGTGTGTCAGTGTATATGTGTGTGTGTGAGTGTGTCAGTCTATATGTATGTGTGAGAGAGTGTGTGTCAGTGTATATGTGTGTGAGAGAGTGTGTTTCAGTGTATATATGTGTGAGAGTGTGTCAGTCTATATGTGTGTGTGAGAGAGTGTGTCAGTGTATATATGTGTGTGAGAGAGTGTGTGTCAGTGTATATATGTGTGAGAGAGAGTGTTTGTCAGTCTATATATGTGTGAGAGTGTGTCAGTGTATATGGGTGTGTGAGAATGTGTGTGTCAGTGCATATGTGTGTGAGAGAGTGTATGTGAGTATATCTGTGTGTGTGTGTGTGTGTGTGTGTGTGAGGGGAGAGAGAGTTGTGTCAGTGTATATAATAATAATAGTATATATGTGTGTGTGTGAGGGGCGAGAGAGATTGCAGAGACCTCTGTGTGTCTGTGAGAGAGAGAGAGAGAGTGTGGACAGAGAGAGTGACAGAGAGAGAGGAGTGACAGAGAGAGAGAGAGAGTGACAGAGAGAGAGAGAGTGACAGAGAGAGAGAGAGTGACACAGAGAGAGAGAGAGAGAGAGAGAGAGAGAGAGAGAATGGTGGGATTTGTAATCTACACATTTATAAGAACTTAATTTTGTTACGACATTTTTTTGCCAAAAAATGAACGAGAGAGAGAGAGACACACACACTTTCTCACCCAAACCCCATTTCTCCCACAAAATACACAGTCACTCCACTTTACAATATATTCTGTGAAGCGCTTTGAGACGTCTCAACGATGTGATAAGGCTTTATGTCAAATGCAAGTATTATTATTATTATTACTATGATTATTATTATAAACCCCATCCTTGACCAGGGTAGACAGACATCTTTGGCGCATTGTTTATTATGGTTTCAGTATATGAAGATATAATCATAATAATAATAATAATAATAATAATAATAATAATAATATGTAGAAAGTCACTGATGGGGGGAGGAATTGTGTCAGAAATTCTGAATGAATTCTGGTGGATTTTTTTTCTTTTTGGGCTTATAATTAAATAACTTTAATAAAACAACACACCCAGTTTGTAGCAGTTTTAAGTCAACTTATAGGAGAAGGAAAGATGTCATTTCTCTCTCTCTCTCTCTTCCTCTCTGTGTGTCTGTGTGTGTGTGTGTGTGTGAGAGAGAGAGAGAGAGAGAGAGAGAGAGAGGTTGGGGAGAGAGAGAGAAAAAGAAAAAAATATAAATACTTATTGTGTAGATTCGTAAAACGAAGGCAAACGCACAGATAAAATATTTATTGACACACGATTGGGGGTGGAGGGCAGTGTGTTGGATTTGAAGTGTGGTTACCTGACCCTGGAAATATATCTCTGTATCAAGTTTGTTATTTAAATACATCTTTCACAGGCACTTGTATTAAACTTAAATAAATCGCAGAGTGAATTGAAGTCCAGGGAGACAGCTGAAGGCAGGAGAGGGAGGGGATGGGAGGGAGAGTGTGTGTGTGTGTGTGTGACAGAGAGAGAGAGAGAGAATGAGGGAGAGGGAGAGAAAGAATGAGAGGATTTCACAATCTGTAGAACAATTACAAGAACTTAATTTTGCGATCACGTCTTTTTTTTGTAATAAACGTCTCAAACGAGAACCAAATTGGGTTCGCAAACACGTGGGCGAAGAAGGAAAGTGAGAGATAGAGAGAAAGATAGATAAAGAGATGTATATATATATATATATATATAGAGAGAGAGAGAGAGAGATACAGACAGATAGATTGATAGAGAGAAAGGCAGATAGAGAGATGGATGGGTGGATAGGCAGAGGAGCAGATAGTTTGTCAGGGATGGAGTTTGGTTCTGGAACCTATTGACTGCACTGAATGGAAATGTTTTATTTGTGCTGTATATCAGATGTCGCCCCTTCGCTCCTTAAGAAAGTATTTGTTCTCTTTAGTAATTGAATCCTTCCCCGAATATACCACACAACAAGGGGTCTCGGTGCCTCTCGCCTGCGAGAGGGGGGAGAGAGGGGGGGAGTAGAGAGGGGTGGGGAGAGAAGAGGAGAGGGGGGTGGGAGAGAGGGGGTGGGGGAGAGAGGGGGGGGGGAGAGAGGGGGTGGGGGGTGGGGGGGGAGAGAGGGGGGGAGAGAGGGGGTGGGGGGGGGGGGGAGAGAGGGGGGGAGAGAGAGGGGGTGGGGGGGGGGGTGATTGGGGAGATGTCTCTGTGTGTGTGTGTTTATAAATACTGGGGTGGCGACCAGAGCTGGGGATAACCTGCAGAGGGGGGTGGGAGGGAGAGAGGAGGGAGAGAGGGGGAGAGAGGGGGGAGAGAGGGGGGGAGAGAGAGAGAGGGGGGGGGAGAGAGGGGAGAGAGGGGGAAGAGAGGGGGAGAGAAGGGGAGAGGAGGGGAGAGAGAGGGGTCACAATACTATGATTGATTGACAACTAAACAGAGAGAAAGAGGGGGTGAAGGAGGGAGGGAGAGAGGGAGGGAGGGATAGAGGGAGGGAGGGAGAGAGAGAGGGAGGGAGGGAGAGAGAGAGAGAGGAGGGAGAGAGAGGGAGAGGGAGAGGAGAAATGAACTATGTGGGGTGTGTGGAAAAAAACGCTTTGACAACGTGGATCGACAAACAAAACGAAACACAACACAATAAAATCAAATCAACTGAAATCAAACAACACGCGAACACACACAACAACAAAATAAAACGAAATAAAATAAAATAAAATAAAGCCCCCGGTGGGTTGGGGGGGGGGGGGGGGGCTGCTTTGATGTGTTTGCCACATTTGCCAAGTGATCAGTCGGTTTGATTAATATTAATTGCATTTCCCAGATCAAATATAGCTGGGAGCAAAAATGGCATTAATAACGGTCATTAGAAATCATGTCATTAGCGAATGCAAAGAGCTTCGAAAGCGCAATTGCTTAATTACCCCCAAAATACCTCCACACACCAGTCTCCACAGTCTGATCCGCACTCACTGCTGTTTAACACTGGGATCGCCCTCTAATCACCACATATTCTTTAGTGTAAACACAGAGAGGCAATTGATGCCTTAATTTTAATTGTTATTTTTATATATATATGTATATGTGTCTGTGTCTGTGTGTCCTCGTTTTATCCCGAACTGTTCCGCGCACTTGGTTTCAACTGAGATCTTATTTTGTTCTTATACTCATCTAATAATATGGATAATAATAATATTAATACTGTTAACAATAATGACGATAATAACCTTTGCATTTGTTCACGTCTTCCAAACGTCTCAAAGCCCTTCGCACAATACACCGTAAAGCGAATCGACTGCACATTTTGTGGGCGAAAGGCGAATATTATTATTATTTCGTCATCTTATTATTATTTGGGTCTCCCGTTTGTTTTGAGAGGGGGTTTTTTTTTAATTAAAAAAAAACAAAAAAACTCACCGCAGTTCTTTGGGGATTTTCCCAACGCAAAGGGAGAGTTCCAATTTGGGTTCAAGTACCAAAAAAATATATACCCTCTGAAAT